TAGTGCCCAGCTAGTAGGACTGATTTGAGCCGTGGTGCTTAGAGACAGAGAGAGAGAGAGAGAGAGAGAGGCCCAAGCCTCCTGGGCTATCCAAGCCATCCGGATCAGCTATCAAAAGCGTTACTCAGTCATCATGCTCAAGTCCCGAACTCAGAGAGAGAAAGAGACAGAGAGAGAGGACAGGGGCTCAGGCCACACAATGCCGGTGCCAAGTTTGAATAAATAAAATGGAACATGAGCAGCGAACCCTCTGGCGCAGCGCATCACTCCCTGTTCGCCAACGGACAGTCGCACAGGACACCAGAGAGAGAGAGAGAGAGAGAGAGAGACGGAGCGGCCACTGCGGCCACCCCGTCGGGCACCAATCTGCTTGAATCTGAACCAATCACCACCACAAGTGCGCGGGGCAGCCACGGCGGACGACGCGGCCAACATTCTTCTGTACCAGTTTCAGGCAGGGCGTAGTAACACAAGAATAGTAATAGTACTAGTAGTAGAAGTAGTAGTGATAGTCGTGGCAGTAGTAGTAGTAGCAGTAGTAGTAGTAGTAGTAGTACTAGTAGTAGTTACACACACAGAAATATATACGTATGTATTGAGTAGAGTAAGCTCAGGTTTCCCCCCCGTCCTTGTGAACGGGGTCTGGTGGACCGGCGCTAAAGAGAGAGAGAGAGAGAGAGTGAGTGAGAGGAAAAGAGAAAGAGAGAAAGAGAGTGAGTATGTATATGTATATATATATATATCGAGTAAAAATAAGCTGAGGTCTACAACCCCGGATGACGACAGCCGGCCTGAACGTGATTTGGGCCGTAACGCCTGGGCTGACTGCGTTCGCCACAGAACACACAAACAATAGACACGCAAAAAATGCCTATAAAACATACCACCAACTGCCAAACAAGGCGCATATTGTCACCAGGCTTCGTTGAACTCGGGACTGGTGCGGGTCCACCAGACCCCGTGAATGGGCACGGAGTCGTAAACCTCAACTTATTGTTACTTGATACATATATATATACTCACTCTCTTTCTCTCTTCCTCTCTCTCTCTCTGTCTCTCTCCCTCTTTCTCTATTTTCTTCCTCTCTGTCTTTAGACTCGGGACTAGCGCGGGTCCACCAGGAATTATAATCACTCCGCAAGAACTCACCACAGCGAAGATTCTCGGTCAGGTGCTCTGGCAGGTAGTAGCCATGACGTCACCCAAATAAATGTCGATGACATCTCCATGTCCCGTTCCGAGACCTGCGTCACTCTTGGCTGCCACACACCACAATGCTTTCGCGCAATGGCTTTGCGCAGTTCTTCCAAGTTTGCGCCGCCGCAAAACCAACTTCCCATCCCGGGCCGATGGCCGCGCCTCCATGCTTACACCATACTTTAAAAAAATCCCCAAGAGTTACAGAAGCTGACACCAAAGCTATAAATACGCCAGCCAGCTATTGATTCACCTAATCCCGCTCCATGTCATGACACTGATGTGGAATCCAACGGAGTTATATTTGGAAGCCCTCACGCACATCCTACGCCCAGGACCATACCATGCGCAAACTTCTCGCGCAGCCCCAGAAATCGTCACCTGTGTGAACAAAGACTGTTGTGTCGTGGCGCAGGATCGCAAAGCGTGGACAGGGCTGCTAAGCTCAAAGCTTTCATGGTGAAGGTGGGAGGGAGCAACAGGAGGCTAAATCGCCGAAGGCAGCCCTGGCTGCTGGTGTCCAGTGTCCAGGAGGCCGGGCCAGGGGCAACGCAGTAGAGGTGCGAGACCTGAACTTGCCAAGGTTGCAAATCGGTGGCGCTGGGAGCCGGGCTGCTGGACTGCGTCCGACCCACAGAAAAACTGAAGCACATAAGAGGACATGGCTAGCGAAAAGTGTCCAAAAGGAAAACGTCTCTAGCCACAGATGGCTACAGAAAAGATAGGCATGCGGCTGCGCAAGATAAGATCTTTCAAGCACAATGTGCTGCGCACGTGACTGTGTTGCAGAAGCCTTTGTTGACCTCGGACTTCAATCATATGTGAGAAAAGGTTCCGACAGAACTCTACGTAACGCTTTCTCTGGGAAACCCTGACTGTAGATAGATCTCCCTGAGCTTGCGAATCTGCGGCGTCACAGACTCTGGGGGCCTGGCGTATTGTCTAATAAGCGCTGGCCTGGAGAAAAACCCAGAAGCTGCCAGTCTTCATGATCCGGCACTTGCTGGTGAACGAACTTGCCATGGTTTTGTTGGCATATTGAAAGTAGCTGTTTTTTCAGCTGCATTGATGGTGAACCCCAACCATTGATGTTCTTCTACAGATTCAAGCTGGATCCCCTTGTAAAATGAAGGGTTGCAAAATTCCTGAATCTGAGGGTTCTGGAAGGTAGTAGACGGCGGCAACAATTAGGCGGTTGGCAACATACCGAAGAAACAAAAAAGAACAAACTGCATACGGGAGGGACTTCACAAATCGCTGCTCTGCCAACAACACTGGCAACCCCGACAACACAGGAGATATAAGGTTTCCTACGCAAGTGCCTTCCTTCTGAAGACGGCACTTGCCTGCTGCTGTAAAAATTCCTGTAGCGAAAGAGACTTCAACAATTGCGGGAATTTCTCTGACCCAGCATCGCTTGAAAGAAGTGCGGATCTTGCCTCTGGGGTTTCCCTGATGGCCTGTCTTTGACACCAAATCAAGCAATAGGATGGTACACCCCGATTGTTCGCAAAACTGTTCGGTCAACGGCGTAACTGCTTCCACAATATCTCGTCGAGGCACAGCAAGAAAAACTCCAACGAGATCGTCGTTCCATTCTAACTCAGTCTCTTGGCTTGGCCTGGAACAATGGTGGTGAAGAGACTTCCACAACTGTGGCATGCTTTGCATTCCCGGCGCGTCCGGGTATAATGTTCTGGCCATGATGGTTATCGCGACA